TGACTCTTCAACACAAGGAGGGTGTCCAAATGCTGCCAAAGAAAGATTTACAGACATCACTTCAAACCACACAGACAGGGAAGAACTAAAATAAGTGAAAGACTCAAATTTGAGAAGAAACAGTCTATTCTCAGAGTAAATTTCCCAATGTTAGCTACGTTATGAATTTTGTTCAGCCTAGGAATACCTCAGTACTCTGTTCTAGTGCATGCAAAGACAATAAAATCCAATATTACATGTTTGTTTCTCATTTGCTTTAAATCATCCCAAAACAACATTGACAAAATAAGGTTGCCTGTCTTCAGAGCCTCAAATATTTAAATGATTTCTAAGAAATAACATAATCCAGGTTTAATTCAAAAAGAGTTGTGTTAAACATAAAAAAGTAAAACTAAAGCAGCCTTGTGTTTTTATTCTTCCCTATAATTCTAACCTTTGAGAAGTAAAGGATGATCATTTTTTATGGATGCAAGTTTCAGCCAGCCACATTGAGGTCATCTTTTTTCTAGGCAATACAGAAATACAACTATGCCTACCAACTCTCCTTAGCACTTTTCCCTGAATCCATGAGCTATGTCAACCTGTAGTCCAACAGTGCCACTAGCCAGCAGGTAGAGAAGACTCGAAGGCTGAAGCTCACATTAACCAACCCTAAGGAATGATGACTGGACTTCTGTTTCCCATAGAGAAAGAATTTATACTGTTCCTGAAATATGGAATGGGTTTATGTGTGCAACACTGATATATTTTGACAGCAGGGATGTTAATGCAAATGAGAGGAAAGGGAAAGTTAAAGCTTCCTGGAAATGGGCACCTTTTCCATTCTCTATGGTCTTCACGTTACAAAAACAAAATTTTGATGGAAATTTTATGTGTCTGTAAATAAACATACAAAGTCTATAAGGTGAGGTATTTTTCTTACAGAAGATGTCCTTGTCTAGCAAAATCCAGAATTTGGATTAAAAAGGATACATGACTCAGGAGGAGACTCAGCTAAGGTAGGAAAAGGAAGAAAACAACCAGGAATGCATCTCAGAGAAATTCCACTTTAATAGATTTTTTTTCATATTTTAACACAGTCTCAAATTTCCAAAATATCATTGTTCTCCATTTAATAAATAAATGATATAGAAAACTTCTGAAAGTTTTTTTTGTTTTGTTTTTGGGTTTTTTTTGGTACCAGGGATCAAATTTAGGATTTTGCACCACTTGTGAGGCAGAGGACACCACTGAGCTAAAGTCCGGGCCCAAAATCAATTTCTTAATATGAGTTTTTTTGTCTTCATATGAGAATTTTTAAGTCTCATAATTATCCTCAAAGATATTCTTATTTAAAGCTTTAAGCTAATGACTTTTGGGAAATTTTTTTTTTAGGAAGAAAAAGAACCCATATTAATAATGAGACATGACAAATTCTAAGCATGAAGTCTTTGCATTTTCTTTTCACAAGTTTTAGTTCTCAATGTGAGACCTTGGCTCTCAAAATTTCATTTATTTTATAATTCTATAAATATGAATCTTAGAAAATTTGGCTCTTGATAGTTTTCCGATAGTCAAAACGGGCAATTGAATTATTGGTAGCCACATAACGTAGGCAATTTGGACAAAAGATTTGCTTTCATCTCTGACTGTTCCTGCTACTTATTTTTCATTTCTAAAGTAAATATTTTGAGAGGAAGTATTTTATGACAGGGAGGAACATGTTATCTATATTAAACTAACTTTTATTAGGAAAACTCCATACTGATTTAAACTCCGTACTGACCGCCTCTTTTGCTATCCTGATAGAAATATATTATGGAAATTGAAAAGGTCAATAATAAAATCAGAAAAGCTCTGGTTTTCCTTGCTAATTATAATCATGCACAAATTTAGTCTTCTTGTAGTTTAATGGAGAGGACCTTCTGAAGAAATGTGTTTCATCATCGCTTCTCGGCGTTTTGGCTAAGATCAAGTATTTCATGTAAAATGTGAGTACATAGAACATGCACCATTAAACACACTCCCCTTTATCTAAAAATGACTCCATTGAGCTTTTGAGGTTGCCTTTAAATCTTTTTTTTTATTATTTCTGAAAACTTATCTCAAACTTTCTCTAAAATTTTATCTTTCCCTTTGAAAAATACTTTGATAGTTTTTGCTTTCTCTCCTTGGTTTCTGTATTCTTATGCTCTTGTATAAATCTATAAATACTTGGTTTAAGAGATACTAGTTAGTAATAGTAAGTCTGAAGGTGTGTTATTTGATTTTTTGATTCTTGTTTTCTTAATCAACAAAATGAAAAGATTGGCAAAAAAAGATCTCTACAGTAACTTTCTGTAAAAATTAAAGTGATTGCTCAATAACAATTCCTTTCCCCCATATATGCTGGCCTTCAGTCCTGCATGGCACTTTAGCAAAGAGCACAACAAATACCAAGGTCACTGTGTAGTGGACATAAGTCCAAAATTCTTTACTCAACTGAATTATCTAGTTTTACTTCACATTTCCTAATTGGGTTTGGTGAAATTTATCAAAATGACAGAGAAAATTATTACTTTTCATCTTCTGCTTTTGGCCCTGAAATCTGTATCTGAAACACTTCCATCTTTCACTTTGTAGAATCTTTTCACACCCATATTAATAGAACTAAAAGTTACAAAAATCTGTATGATTTGAAATGAGAAGATGGCCTCTTTCACAGAAGGGGATCTTGAAATATACCAAGAATTGCTTTATCTAATACATTAAACACTGAATGTTTTGCAGAAAGTTTACTTTGAAGAGATACAATTAAGTTCAAATTATGCAAAATAAAATTTTCAAGTGACAATGTAAGGATTTCTTTTACTGAAGTAATGGAGATTTTGTACTATGTGAAACAATATTTATACAGTTAACAATCTGCTAAGCACAGTAGTACTTTCAGTGTTTTGTGGCCTTCCTGGAAACGATGATTTGTTTCAGTTGTTAGGTTGTGCTTACTCTTCCTTCTCAGTACCATCATTAGTTCTTCATACATGACACATACGTGTGATTGTTCACTTCATGACATGGGTGCCACGGCACAGTAATCACCTAAAACTAAGAGAAAGAAAATCTTAAAAGTGAGGTGACTAAAAAACATTCATATCTGGAAGGATTTTTTAATTTTTTCTCCTATGTGCATTTAAGCAATATGATTATAATCAAGCAAATTAACATCTCACATAGTTTGTTTGGTAACCCACTTAAAACGTACTGTTAGGTAAGTGGGCTAACAGGGAGGTTACAGCAAAGAGGCAAAGTGGAGGCAACATGGCAGCCTTCTTCTAGCTCCAAAAAGCCATCTCCCCTACTGTGGCCACCAGCCTTGTGTTCCAGGTCAACTGTTTCTACAATTCCAGTTGGATTCATTGACTGGGCAACATGAAGAATCAAATGCCAAAACATCTCATGAAACATAGTTTCTGATCATTATTTATGATTCCCTGATGCACACAGAGTTTCAAGATGCTGGTGAACATAGTCTTCCTCTACAGACACAGCCAAAGAAGCTGACGTAATTATTACAATGCTGCCTACTGGTATCAGTGCAATAGACTCTTATTCTGGAACAAGCAGAAATCTCTTTTAAGAAGTGGAGAAAAGTTTGTTATTAATAGATGCCAGTATTATTGACTGTGCTGTTCCAAAGGAATTAGCTAAAGAAATTGAGAACATAGGAGCAATTTTCAGAGATGCCCATGTTTCTGGTCAAGTCAGAGCTATAGGGTCTGGGAGCCTCACAATTTTGGTAGGAGGCATGGTAGACAAATTGCTATTAGCCCAGACCATCTGGGGTAAAGGAGCTCTGCTGTGGGGTATTATGAAGCTTCTGGCACTGGGAAGGCTGCAAAGATTTGCAACAGCACACTGTTGGCTGTTATTATGACTGGAATTGCTAAAGCTATGAATCTTACAATCAGGTTAGGGCCTGACCCAAATCTGTTGGCTGAAATCCTAAATATGATCTCAGGACAGTGTGGTTCAAGTGATACTAATAATCCCATATTGCAGTGATGGATCAAGTAGCTTCAGCAAGGATCTATCAGAGTGGATTTGGAATACCACTCACAGTGAGGACCTGGGATTGTCACAAGACTCTGCTACCAACACCAGAGCCCAATCCTTCTAGAAAGCCTAGCCCATCAGATCCACAAGAAGCTATGTGCAAGGGGTACTCACAGAAAGACCTCTTATCTGTTTTCCAATTTCTACAAGAAGAGGAGACCCTCTAAGTATGTCCTTTGTCTGTGAACACTGTTGGGAAACTCCTGGCTCAATTCACAAGCCATAATGGATTTAACAAAAGGTCATCTATCTGCTTTTGATTATCCAGGCCACAGTAATCCCTAGGATTTTTCACCCATATTAAAATGCTTTTTCTTTTCATCTGTTTAGCCAAGATATATTATCTAAAAAATGGGGTTTTTTCTGCATATCACAGGTAATTCCTGCTTACTAGACAGAAAAATTGCCCTTTTAAAAAAAAATTTACCACTGACCATTTTCAACTAAGTCTTGAATCCCTCAATTAGGATACCATTTGCTCTACTTCATAAATAAAAATGAAATATTTTGTCAACAGAATTAAACCCATCTAAAGGAAAGTAAAGAAATCAGTGTGTTCTTACAGGGAGTTAGGGAAAGGAAACACAGTGACTTGCTACCTATATCTCTCAGGAAGTTTGTCCTGTTAACAGAGCCAGAAGAGTATCCTGTGTAAATGGGCTCACTGATTCATTTCCAAAAGAGCTGATAAAACAAGACAACTTGCTGCTGCATGTTTTGCAATTTGGACACATTTATAGGATTTAAATAGTTACCACTTCCAGAAGTCAGCAGATCTGTTTTTCTTATTTTTGTTATTTTCCTTCCTTTTACATTCTTACTACATATATTTTTACTTCAAAAAAAAAAAAAAGATTTCTTCATATCTCTTTCAAAGTCAATAATGAAATTGACTTTACATAATTGTTACATTATTTAAATATAACCTAGTGCTCACTTTGGCAGCATGCATCCTAAAATCTGATACAGGGAAGATTAGTGTGGCCCCTGCACAAGGATGACATGCAAATTCATGAAGCATTCCATATTTCTGCTGCACAGGCATACAAGCTTCAGCCAGAGGCCTACAGCATCAGTGAGTGGGTGCAGATCCCAGGGAGCAGTGTTGCAATCCAGAGCTGTGGGGCTGCAGGCAGATCCCAGCCAGGGCTCTGCCCCAACACCAGAGGAAGCTCGTGCACACCCACCCAACCAAAGGCCCACCAAGAAAAGACCTGAAGAAGCACACAAGCTTCAGTAAGAGGCCTGCCCCATAGTACTGGTGAGTGTGAGCAGAATCCAGTGACTATGGTCCAGAGTGGCACAGTTTCAGGCAGATCTCAGTCAGGGCTCTGCCCTGACCCTGCAGCACATCTGCCCAGTGAAAGGCCCAACCAGAAAAGAGCTGCACAGGCACACAGGCTTCAGCCAAAGGACTGAGCATCAACCACAGTCAAGGGCCCTCCTGGAAAACAGCTACACAGGCAAAAGCCAGAGCCCCCCACCCCACCCCATACCATTGTTAAGGGCACGGAGACTCTAGCCAGAATCCTGCTCAGACAAGAGGAACTGGGGAGCACAGCCTCCAGCCAAAGGCCCTCCCCAACAACAGGGACATAGAGGCCCCAGCAAAAGGCACATCTAGATACCATCCCAAGTGGGCACAGGCCATAGGCAGAAGCCTACCCAGACAACAGGTGAGCTCAGGGATCCAGAAGGCCACCATTCTAAGACAAGGAATTGATGTACTGGTGAGCAACAGAAAAAAGGCCACTCAGTAGCTTGTTGAGAATTGAAGACCAATGAGTGAACAAAAAGTTGCCTCAACAAAGGCACAGCAGGCTGCATCTGTGGAAATGAGAAGATTTTTTTTTTTAAAGTCCCAAAATAAAACTTCCAGATCATATAAGGCAACAACAAAGGGAAACAAGAGAAAGCAATCTGATATGCAACCACACAGTTTCCCTAACCTGGCAATGAAAGAGGATCTGGAAAAAAAGAAATCAGAAATAATTTCTCAGATAACAGCAGAGATTGTGCCCTTAGTGCAAGACATGATTTATAAATCTAGAGCAGACACAGATTTAAAAAAATAGAGAACCTAAGGAACATGATGGAATCCTGACATAGGAGACAAATGAAATTAATAAAACACATGCAAACAGATTTCCAGAAGATTAAAAACTCCAATGAAAGTTTACACAGAAGGATGAGTCAATGCAAGGATAGAATTTCAGATATAGAAGATAGGATTGCAATCAGCCACCAGGAAAAGAAACATTTCTTAAAAATAAGGGACCATGAGAAATCAATCCAGCAGCTGCTAGGCAATGCAAAGAAGAATAACATCAGACTGATCAGAATAAATGAAGAAACAGGAGCAAGGGCAGGTGACATAAAATATCTGTTCACAGAAGTAATGGCAGAAAACTTCCCAACTAGGGGGAAAGAACTTTATATACAAATAAGTGAGGTGTATAGGACTCCAACTAGCCATGATTTTTAAAAAATTCTACGCATAAGCATATAGTAGTTAAGATTTCAGAAACCCAACAGAAGAAAAAATTCTATAAGCAGTTAGAGTAAATAAATCACACATACAAAGAAAAGCCTATAAGAATCACAGCACACTTTTCAACACAAACCCTCAAGGTAAGAAGAGCTTGGAGTGATGTATTTCAAGGAAAATGGGCTCCAACCCGGACTGATGTACCCTGCAAAACTATCTTTCAAATTTGATGAAGAAATAAGATACTTTCACAACAAAAAGCATGTTAGGAACTAACAAACTAGCACTTCAAAAAATTTCAAATAATATTCTAGGAAAAGATAATGAGGAAGACAACCCCAGGAAGCCCAGCAGAATGAATCCATCAGGCATCACAAGAAATTAAACTCAAAGGGGGAGAATCCAACAAAAGGAAAAAGTCATGAGAAGAGTAAGTCAATACACATCAGTTATAACTATCAATGTTAAAGGTCTCCATTCAGCAATCAAAAGAAATAGACTGGCAGAATGTGTCAAGAAGCAAGATCGAACAATATGCTGCATATAAGAAACATACTGAATTTAAAAAGAAACTCATAGACTAAAGTTAAAGGGTGGAAAACAATACTCCATGAGACAGAAACTAGAAAAAAAGCAGGAGTAGCTATCCTCTTTGCAGATCAAGTGGATTTCAAACCAACACTGAGATAAAGACACTACATCCCTGTAAAGGGAACAATCCAAGAGGAAGAGATGGCAATCATACGTACATATGCACCAAACACTAGTGTGCCCAATTACATAAAGTAAATACTAATGGACATAAAAAATCATATAAGCACTAACACAGTAGTAGTGGGGGACCCCAATACCCCACTGTCACAAATAGATAGATCAACTAGACAGAAAATAAACAACACAATACTAGACTTCAAACTCTTGAACAAATTAACTTAAGAGATGTTTGTTCCACCCCACAAAATCAGAATTCAGATTCTTTTCAGCTGCAAATGGGTAGTTCTCAAAAATTAACCACATACTCGCTCATAGAACATGTATGAGTACAAAGGAATTGAAGTGATCCCCTGTATATTGTCATACCATAGTGTGATGAAATTGGAGATCAATACCAAAAGAAACCACAAGAATTTCATAAACATATGGTAATCGCACAACACATTTCTGAATAGGCAATGGGTCATAGACAAAATTAAAGAAGAAATCAAACAATTTCTACAATTAAATGACAATGACAATACAACTTCTCAGAATGTATGGGACATATAAAAGCAGCCTTACAAGGGAAATTCATAGCAGTGAATACTCATATTAGGAAAACAGAGCAAGCTCCATTAAATAACCGATGCTGAACCTCAAGCTTCTAGAAAAAGAAGAGCAGGACAAACCTAAAGCTCATACAAGGGTGGAAATTATAAAGATCAGAGAAGAAATCAATGCAATGGAGATTAAGAGAACAATATAAAAATCAATGAAGCCAAGAGTTGGTTCTGTGAAAGCATAAACAAAATTGACAAACACTTAGCCAACCTTATCAAAAAAGGAAAAAAAAGACACAAATCCATGCAATTATGAATGAAACGGGTGAAATTATAATGGACCCAGCAGAAATTCAGAGGATCATCAATACCTACTTCAAGAACCTATACATCAATAAGATGGAAAATACAGAAGAAATGGACTGATTCCTAGGTGTATATGAATCATCAAAGTTAAACAAAGAAGACCTAAAAATTCTAAACACCTGAATTACAATCAGTGAAACTTAAAACATAATTAAAAATTTAACAAATAAGAAAAGTCCAAGCCTTTATGTCTTCACTGTTGAATTCTACATGACGTTTAGAGAGGAACCACTGCCACTACTACTTAAACTCTTTAATGAAATTGAAAAGGAAGCAATATTTCCAAACTCATTCCTGGAAGCAAGAAGCGCCTTGATTCCAAAAGCGGAGAAAGACACAACTGAAAAGGAGAACTATGGGCCAATCTCCCAAATGAAGATAGATGCAAAAAACTGTAATAAGATACTGGCATATAGAATGCCGAATATCATCAAGAAGATCATACACCCTGACCAAGTGGATTCACCCCAGGGATGCAGGGATCATTCAACATATGCAAATCAATAAATGTAATACACTATATTAATAGAACCAAGGACAAAAACCATATGATCATCTCAATAGATGCAGAAAAAGCATTCAACAAAATCCAACACCCACTCATGATAAAACCCCTATAGAAAATTGGAATAGATGGTATCTGCCTCAATCTGATAAAAGGCAGCTATAAAAATCCAACAGACAAGATCATACTAAATGGTCAAAAACTGAAATCCTTCACACCACAATCAGGAACAATATCACCACTCCTGTACAATGTAGTTTTGGAAACATTAGTCATAGCAATTAGACAATAGACATAAAAGAAATAAAAACAGAAAATGAAGAAGTCAAATTTTCATTATTTGCAGATGACATGTTACTCTATATAGAAGACCCTAAGAACTCCAACAAAAATCTTCTGGACTTAATAGCCAAATTCAGCCCTTTGACCCAGTGTATCAAAGAAGATGGCAGCAGCTCCTGACTCTCTGGTAGGCCTGCCCTTTCAGCCCAGCACACCAGAGGAACCCAGATGCACAGGCACCAACACAGTGGTGTTCATGCCCCCACCCATGCAAACAAAAGAAAGAAGGTCTCTCTGAGGCTCTGAGATGAAAATTGAAGCCCACTGGAAAAGTGAAGAAAATATGCAATAAAGGCACACCACACCACCAAAGATGGTAAGTCAGAGGAACATTGGAATCTGGTCTAACTTTGGGGGAAAGACAGCTGGCACCTACCGTATACCTTGCAGAGTTCAACCCTGCAGGAAAACAGAGATCTCAACCTGGGACTTGCAGCCAGAAATCAGCTGGAACCACAGGCATCAGCTGTTGGTTTCCTGATACTAAATAGCTTAGACCTGCACACTCCTACCCATGCTGTCTGTTGGGTCAACAGAGGCATACCTTGAAGGAGGCCCTCTATTTCTATTTGTATTTTTTGTTTTCAAAGTAATATGTTTCACTTATCTATGATCATTTGAAATATTTTATGTCTTTTACCAATTTTATTTCTTTTTATCTTCTTTTTTATCTTCTTTATGTTTTCTATTTCTCTCTCACTACCTCCCTCCCACCTTGATCTCCATTACTCTTCCTTTTTCTTCCTGTTCCTATTCTAATTCAAGTTTACTTTCTTTCTCTTCCTTCTCTCAATTGCCATTAGTTTTAAAAGAAAGTTATTACAGTCTCTAGTCCCTATTGCTGTTAGTTTGTTCTATTTTGTGCATATTTTCTTCTGTCTTTTCCTCTTCTCTTCAACAGCTTCCTAGAGATTCTGTGATCATACAGTGTCTACTGACCTCACTTCTAACCTTTCTCTATCCTATCTATCCCTCCCTCCCCAACTCCTTCTAAGTCCCCATCCTAAAGAGTAAAGATGCTATATTGAAGAGTTTATTGACTATAAGCATATTTTGGGCTGGTCTTCAATTTTGA